CCTATTGCTACCTCGGAATTGCTGAGGTCAGGACTCTACAGCAATGCTTATTTTTACATTTCCAAGCAAATACCAAAACCTTCAGCAAAGATTGGGTTGGTATTAATGGGTTTTTGTCTCAGAACTGTATTGTGGATCCTGGAGTTTCCCCCAAATCCATCTATATCAAATTTGTAGAAGTAGAGAGGGATTTTCTTTCCGCTGGCTCTTTAGTTGAGTGCCTGGAAAAAGCCATTGGATATCCCTTAAAATTTAACAACTGATTGTCATCCTTCATAAGGATTTGGGCTCTTACCTCCCTCTTCTCTACTCACTCCATGTTGTCTAGACTGCCCTCATCCAGATGCTGCCATCAGACTCTTCATGGGAACTCTTTCCACGATTGGGCCAGTACAACTTCTGAGGAAACAGTAGACATTGGGCAGATAAAAACAGACCCCACCAAAAATGCTCATTTTGAGCAAGCAAGATATATAGTGAACTTGCATGGTGGGTCAGTTGTTTCTTTTTTTAAAACAAAAAATTTTTAAATGGATTTTAGAGCCCTAATGTAAATAAATGTAGGTACATTCCATATTGGACAAAACTTATACTTTGAGTTTCATATGAAATTGAAAAATTGTATTTTTTTCACAATGTTTCATTTTTACACATCTCTATGTCTCTATATAAGTATTATTTACAACCCTGAATAAATAAGCAATAGATAATGGCAAGTTAAATCTTGAGTCACAGTAAATAAGACTGTTTTGCAATATCACCTTTAGCTACTATTGTATATAATTTAGAATTTCATTTTTTTCACCAGCCAAGTGTTTTGCTATTTCCAATCAGTGTTGCCTGCAAAGATCTTTGTTTCTGTGATGTACCAACTTTATGGTTGTGTTGCCATTTAAACTTTTTTTATGAAAAAAAAAAATTAAAGTAATACCTGGCCTCTTGGCGTGCTAGTTGCGCTTTTTGTAGCAGATTGTGGCCGAACTGGTGGTGGGGACTATGCTCTGGCTTAACTGCTAATAATGAACAGAATAAACAGAGCAGGATCCACTGGCAGTGTTCATTCAGTGTCCACCCATTGACCAACTGTCATTATTTCTTGTCAGTACCAAAGGTCATTGGACATCGCATTTTGTATTTCTTTAAAAAAAAAAAAAATGACTAGGATATTCTATCTGACCTGAGGAACATAAATTTGTAATCAGGAGAAAGCTTCCCAAGGGGTGCAAATGATAAATTGATGTCTCTTGCTGGGTCTACAAGAGGGGGAATTGAGGGCCCAGTAGAAATATCGAAAACAAAACAAAACCCCAAAAACCTTAAAAAGTGATCCATAGGAGAAGAAATTGTAAGGTATCAGTCTGTTATGAAGGTGACTGCCGTTTTTTCAAGATTTCCAGTGGGTCAGTCACCACTCCACTTAGAGGTTAGTACTCTTAGCTAAGAGGAGTTTACTAGTAGAATAGTCAAGGATCACTTTGGTGTCATGATAGGAACTCATTGGATTGGTTATTTATTTTTGATTCCTCAACATCTCTCAGATGCTTTGCTTTAATGGGCTGCAGCTCCAGGTAAGAAATGTAATTCTTCGTGTTTTTCTATACCAGTGAAGATAAAATTGCATTTTGTTAAAAATGTTCTTTTCCCATAATCTGAATAGTGATTTTGTCATTGTGATTCTGATTTCTTTGTGCTTATTTATTTTTCTAATGACTAAGTGAGCTTATAATCAATGGGATGGCTTTGCTTTATGTTATTTGCATCTGGGYTTATTGAGTTGGCTGTTTTCTGATGCAAGCTGCTAAAAATAGGTGTAAATTCAGGGAGAGTATAAATATCCTGAGAATGTGTGAGTGTAGCACCTGTTCTCTCTGGGCAGAGTGTGTAGGCAGGAGCCTTAGGAAATTCTCATGCATTTACTCTTTGGGACTTGGATTTATAGTCCATCTTATAGCAATAATCTCATATATTCAGTGTTAAACTCTGTAGAAAAAAGCATTAGTATCAGAACCACCACATGGCATCCCTAAAACTTTGCCCCTGACCAAACCCAAAACTAACATTAATACTTCATGCATTTTTTTTTTCCTGCATCCTACTTGCCACTGCTCTGAGGTACTCAGCAGGGCAGAGTATTTTAGGGACATGTAGTGAAGATGTTTTAGACCTACTTAACGTTACTGAGAACAGAGCATTGCTAGACCACTGTCCAACACAGAGAAGATGACAAAGATCAGATCCAGTATGAGTTATTACCAGTTGGCTTCAGATGGGTTAGGGTGGAGGTAGGGAGAAGAGGACAAAGCTAAACTTTGGGAAATGGAGGCTTGCCAAGAAAATAGCTTGCTAATACTGAGTATCCAGTGTCTTTGGCCAGAACAGCCTATAATAGAAGAAAGCAGGTTGTCAGATAACTGAGTATTGCAAAAAAAAAAAAAAAAAAAAGCAGGCAGTGATGGTACATGGCTGTATAATCCCAGCAACTCAGGAGACTGAGGCAAGAGGACCACAACTTCAAGGCCGTCCTGGACAATTTAGCAAGACCCTGTCTCAAAAAAATAAGCTGTGGAGGTAGCTAAGCCATATTAACAGATTCAAGGAGGGTGGAGACACTATATTCAAATAGAAGACTCAGAATTCTTTGGAGATCTGAAATAAAGTGTGTTTGAAAGGAACACATAAAGCTAGATTTAGCTTTTGCATATGTGTATGCAAGCAGCTCTCTGATCATGCTCAGATGTGTGCCAACATTCTCATCTTACACCAGGTTAGAATGCAATGTCCACCCTGAAGTACATCTTGGCAAAAACTTGAAGTAAGTAATAGAATTGCTCTGCTACCTTCTACTACTTGATTCCCTCAGGGTCAGAAGAAAGAAGTGGTTGAAACAGGAAAATTTTGGGGGGTAAAAGTCCTGAAGAGACTGCTCCTGTGTCACAAGGATACATTCACTTAATCCTTGGTTCCTGCTTTGCTTCCCACATAGCAAGTTATTTGAAATCTGAATTTTGAAGGAATAGCTAAGGAGTGAATATTGAGGCCATCCATACCTTAAGTAGCACTTGATAGCACACCTGTGTGATCGGATGCTTTGTCATTTCAGGGTTACAACTAAGACTTTGTATCCTCTTTCTTGGAAGGAGTTACTTATTTGGAGTGGTGTAATCCTGGTCTGGAAACAAAGGAGGGGAGTTTTACAAGAGGTGCTTTGTGGGCTGGAGTTGTGGCTCAGTGGTAGAGTGCTTACCTCACACATGTGAGGCACTGGGTTCAATCCTCAGCACCACATAAAAATAAAAGTAAAGGTGTTGTGTCCATCAACAACTATAAATAAATAAATAAAAATTAAAAGGTGTTTGCAGTGTATATTAAAGCTGAGAAAAATCTCTCTTAAGTGTGATAGGATAGGAAAACCAAACCAAGGGCCCCTCCCCCATCTTTTTTCCGTTCCTGCGGTTTGTAAGTCCCCRTGAAGCTCTCAGTTAGCTATTTCTGTTGCCTTTGCAGCCATTGAGCTGCCAACTGTTAGATTCCAGAGATGGCATGAGTAGTTTAGTGTTTGCATAGGCGTTTCTCAAAGCCACCGCACAGCAGGTATTTGAAGAGGAGCCAGGCAGGTTACACAAGGAAGAAGAAGCCCCAGAGAGGGTCTATAGGGCATTGTGTAGAAAAACACCTTGCACAGTGTGGGCACCAAGACTATACTCAATGTGTGGAATAGAGAATTCAGTAGGCCTTTTAGTCCCAGAGTTGTCTGGGAATAAAAGATAAAAGGGGGCAGTGCCAGAAATTCGTGGTTACTTTCTGTCCTCTGTGACCCCTTTTGCTCAATGACTGAGCTCATTTTTTTTTTTTTGGCGGTTGGGCAGAGAAACAAAAACAGGTGCATACACTTATGTGAAGAAGCGGCCAGCAGAGGGCGCAGGGATGCCTTTTGGCTGAATGGTGGGGGGTAGGGTGGGGGCGGTTAAATTAAATTCACAACGAACAAGATCTAGTCCTGGGAATTAAAGGATCAAAGCAGGCCTGAGCCGTTCATTGCAGGGGTGGGAGGCAGCTGAGACAAGGGGGGATAAAGAAACGGAGAATTTTGTCCTACCTTCCTGCAGCCGCCCTCTGCCCCCCCCCCCAGTCAGCCTAAGACCTATAAGCAGTTTATTCTAGGAGTGAAGAGCTGGGAATAACACTCATAGCTGCCTCAGTTTCCTGCCCATCTCCTGGTGATATCTTGCACCAGTCTTCTCTGCTCGGGGTGTGAGGCACAAGGCTGGAGGGTTTTAGGGGGTCTATGAGAACTCAGAACCGCTTTCCCTGCCCACACAAAGACCGTCCTGCCTGCGTAGAGCCGCAGGTGCTGGCTTGTTGCCGTGCGGTCCAGGACCTCCACCTCGACAGCCCCAGGCTACGGGGAGTGTGCCAAGTGGGTGTGACACTGACCCTTCCTGCCTGCTGGGATGGCTGTGCCTGCCCCTGACTCTGGGAAAGCGTTTGAATCCGGCCGCAGTATGGGTTCGGAGCGCTAACACCTTTCTGCCTCTTAAAACACTAAGTCCCAGAGCTTTTCGGGAAACGCGATTCCCCCTTCCTCCTCCAGAAAGCCCGTCCTTTATTAGATGCCCCCAAGCTCAAAACGGGTTATTCGACCTGGAGCCCCAGGGCTTTTACATTGTCAAGGCGTGGGTGGCATCTGGACTTCGGAGAGTCCCCCCAAACTCCCTTTAGAGTCACCCTTCCAACCCTGCAACGGCAAAGGAGATAAGTTTGACCCAAAATAATAGTTCAGAACTCTCCTCTTTCCTTCTTGCTTCCCAGGACTGGCTGGCGGGGTACCATGGCTTAACCCTATTCCAACCTGAAGCTTGACTGGGTAGAGCCGGTGATCCCGCGGTTTGAGTACTAGAAGCGCCCCCCTGCGGTGGGTTACTATTGGGCCCCGCCCGGGACCTCTCCGCCCTCTTAAATGCCCCGCCCCCTGTCGCAGTTGGTCCCCACCCCACCACCGGCTCACTAGCAGACTTGGGCTGACTGCCTTTGGTGTCAGTGGCCTATCTCCTGCGCACGCTCCGGCTTGTCGGCTTGTCGCACAGCTCGGCACCTGTCCGTCGGTGTATCCTGGAACTGGCGCCCCTGACTTGGTCCAGGCCAGGGAGGGCCATGGTTTTTCTACCTGGCCCTCCTGCGACGCCCTTGCTGCGATTTTTGTTCCTAGGGCTAAGTACTCTCGGTGAGTTAAACTCGGGACCAAGAGGGGAGTTGGGATGTCATATAGGATGAATCCGACCCATGGGAGGACTTTGGGCACTGAGGAGGAACTGGATTTGACAGGACTCCCAACTTCAGACTCTTGCCCTTCTTCCATTGTCCCCCACCCCCATGCTAGAACATCACTGGCTTGTGCTGATTTCTCCCCATAAGGCAGGGACAACTCCCAGTTTGGGGTGTGGTGTATGTGTTGGGGGGTGGAGGCAGCATCTCCAGGCATGATAAGGGCATCTCCAGATAAGGGCATCTCCAGACAAGACCAGGATATCTCTGAGATGAGTTATTGGAACCATTCCCCCTTCCACTTTCCTCTCTAACTCCAGCAGAGCTGGATGAGCTGAGGCGCTAGATGAGACACTGACTAAAGAGCTTAAGGACTTAACTCCCGTCCCCCCTCTGATCCCCACCCTCCATGTACACCCAGCTGACTGGAAAGATCGATAGGGGAATGCCCTGGCCCCCAGGCTTGACACACGTACTTAACATCAATTCTCCAGCCCAGTTCCTCCCTCTTGTCCCCTCTGGCTTCCTGCCCTGGAAATCAAGGGAGGTGCCCCAAAGGCATGTCCATGAGGTCATTTGGACACAGGAAATGGGGAAGGGTTCAAATGCTGGGAGAATTGTGACTCTCCTCCAGGTCTACCACCCTTATGTTTTCCCAGAGAGGAAGGTAACCTCTAAGAAAGTACTGAGATTTAAAAGCTTCCAGCAGCAATAGCTTCAAGAGCTAAGTGGCTCAGTGCTACACCTGGAGAAAAGGACCCAGGAGGGACTGAGCTCATCATAAGTTGTTTCACTTTACTGCTTCTCAGAATTTTTTGCTGTCCCCCTCCAAGAATCACAAGGATGTTAACATCAGCTTTAATTAATTTTAGGAGGATGCCAGGGCAAGTAAGGCCTAAAAGGATGTAGAGTGAGAGTGCACCCCAATGATGGGGACCTCTTAGCTCCTTTCTGTCTCTGCTTCCCTTTTAGCCTGCTGTGTGAGCCAGTGGTATTGGGGCATAAAGTATCAGGATCCCTAGACAGATGGGTCTTAAGAGTAGCACCCTAGCCGTAAAGCCTGGTAAGCTTTCTGCCCTCTTGATATAGAGTGGCCAGAAACAGTTCCTGCCCTGAAACTTGTCTGGGTCCAGGAGAGGTGCTAGTTTCACCCCTGGTGCCCCAGAGACCTACTCCCGGTTCTGCATTTATAATTGCATTTTGCAAAAGGTAGAGCCTGGGTTAAAATACACAATGGACACAGCTTCTCAGCTCTGCCCTCCCAACTTCAACTTGAGTTCCTCTTTCCTTTCTGCATTCTATGTCAATTTCCCTAACCCCATTCCTACTGGGAAGGAGGTCTCCAAGCATGAGAGGAAAATTCATATTTACTGGCTGGGCGACCACCTGGAGCTCATCTATCCTAGTTTTGATCCTCAGTTTGTGATACTGAAGGCTTTGACACTCCTACCCTTTGCCTTGCGGGTTGCCCAGCTCTTGCTGTCCTCTTGAGGGTTAAATGGGCTCTGAACCATGGGGCATGAGGCAGGCGCTACTCTGCTCCTCGGCCCCCACTCAACATGGTCCTCTGGCTCCACAGGCTCCTCGGCTCAGCGTTGCTGCCCTTGGGGCGTGAGAAGCCCATGGGGGGAATTTCTCAGAGAATGAGGAGACTAAAAATAGTAGCCCTGGGGAGCCGGCCCATTTCACTCTCTATAGGCATTTGCCTGCTTTCTCACTCTGGTCTCACAGTGGGCCAGAGAGGTCCCTTTCTTGGGCTGTTCCAACGCCTTTCACTCGGACCCAATCACCCCCCATTTCCCCCTCAGCCGTACTCAGGACCAAAAGGGCAGCAGACACGCAGGACAGAGGACGGAGGAGAAGCCAGTGGCACTCTCCTGCTCCTGGTTTCTGACCGAGGGTGTAGGACAGGAAGCATTTGTCTTGATCCTTCTGTGTCCATTGTGTATTTTAACCACCGCTCTACCTTTTGCAAAATGCACTTATAAATGCGGACAGGGAGTAGGTCTCTGGAGCGCCTGAGGCGAAGGAACTTTGCACCCCTCCTGGACCCAGACAAGTCTCCGGGCAGGAACCATTTCTGGCCACTCGGCGTGTGCTGCAGAAAGGCCCGGGAGGAGTGGGCACCTACGGGCCAGGTCCCCAKGGGGCGTCGAGCTCCTTGAGGCCGGGGTTGTTTTCTCCTGCGAAGCCTCCGGTCCAACCCGCCCCCCTTCATTGTCTTCTGCCTTATCTCCGGGCACAAGTTTCCTGCCCAGCCTTCAGGGACCCGCCAGGAAATGGGAAGGGGGGTGCTAGGAAGGACAAGGAATTGAGAGGGGGTTCTGTAAAGACGTGCAGCAGGGAAGCTGTGGGGGTGGCGCGCATCCTGCCGGGATCCGCTCTTGGGCGGTTGGAGGCTTTCAGACCAGCTCTACAAGGGCGCAGAACTAGGCCTATCTGCCGCCTCTGCCTGCGGATTGGCCGCCAGCTCACCTTGCGGAGGTGGCGTCTCCTACTCCGGTGCAGAGTGCTGTGGCTGGGAAAGAGCAGAGCCCAGTACCAGGAACCACTCGCGTCCTCAGGTTTAGCCAGGTACTAGTCCAAAATTATTTACCCCAGAAAGGACTCAGCATTAGGCTATTTCATTGCCTCTCTGAAGGACAAAAGAACAAGTATCCCTATGCGCCATGGTACAAGCCACATCCCTCTAAGTGAAACAGACACCCAGTCCACCCCCTGAACGCTGTGCACGTGTGGGGGAATCTCCGTGCTTGTCAGAATACTGTCCTTTCCCCTACCTGTAATTCCTAGAGACCTAATAGAACCTGTCCAGAGCACCCGGATCCCCAAAGGGAACTTGACAGGTTTCTAAGACCCAGTTCTCTTATTTTCTTAGGGAGGATTCCTTGGGATTGAGCTGGAGGCCCGGGAGCAGGGTAGTCACTGGGTCAGGCGTGGGTGCTGAACTCCTCTCAGGCCACCCGAGGTTCAGAAGGAATGGTAACCCGGTGGCCTCCCAAATCCCTCTGCCCATCGGGTTGAAGAGTGAGGAGACCTGGTGTTCCAGACTAGCGTCGTCACTTTCCCTATCTCTCGCCCAAGGAAATTTAGAGAGCAGCTGTTCAACGTGAGGTGTAAATAAAAAATAGACCTGCCCCAATCCTGCTACATTCTTGATCCTTCTTCTTGGTGCTCAGAATCTGTGCCTCTGGGTACTAATAAATACATAGGAATATGTTCCCATCCCTACAACAAACCCATGGACTTTGAGGAGACGCAGGACACTGGGTTACAGGACCCTGAGTACTCCTCAAGGTCTTCCCCTTGAGGCATGGTGAAGTCTGTTCAGATTCGCATAGCCTCCCTACCCGCAGTGCCAGTGCGGGTTCGGGAGTCCAAGGTCTGAGCAGGGAGCTAATCCAGAGAGCTCACTCCTCCCCATTCTGTCTCCAGTGTCCCTCTCCAGAGCCCAGCTGGAGCTACACGTGCCCACCGGCCTCACCAAGTTGCAGGTGGCAGAGGGAACGGAAGTGGTGCTCCCAGCTTGGTACACTATACAAGGCGAGGCTTTTGCCGTCCAACCATGGGAAGTGCCATTTGTGATGTGGTTCTTGGAACAAGACGGGAAGGATTTAAACCAGGTGAAGGGGAGGGCATCCCAGCTAGTAGCAAGCTGTACCCAACTGTGGATGTAGGGAAGATCTGGGGAGGTGGAGAAGTGGCAGGGGAATGAAAGCTGAGGAAAGAGTTTTAGGGAAAAGCATGTGTCCTTAGTTTCAGTGTTTTTTCCCCCCATCTTAAAGATGTCCCCAAAGACTTCCATTTCCCTCAATTTCCCCTAGAAATCTGGTACCCGAACACTGTAATAGCAGAGACATTTTACTTTGTTATGGTAGTGGTGGAGCAGGGGAGTGGAGATTGAGAAAAGGGGAAAGCTTATGGGAAGTAGCAAACATTTAAAAGTTGGCCATGTTTCTGTGTTCCCATTCTGTATATTTCGGAAACTGTCGAATACAGGCCACTTCCTTTCCCCAATAATTACCATCTATCCCACTCTCCTTTATACCTGGAGAGGCAAAAGGCAGTCTCCTCCCACATTCTCCCTTTTTTCCTCCTTCTTAATGCAAGACTTCCACTCAGAGGCAGGTTTACCCAAAAGCTAATGAAACAGTTTTCAAGGCCCCTACTTACAGGGAGAGCTTTCAAAGTCCTGGAAAAAATATGTTTAAAGAAATCATTTGATCTTGTTTTGTTTTGTTTTGTTAAAGATAATTTTAGCCTGGGGTTTGTGGCACATGCTTGTAATCCCAGCAGCTCTGGAGGATGAGGCAGTAGGATTGCAAGTTCCAAATCAGCTTCAGCAATTTATCGAGGCCTTCATTAACTTAGTGAGATCCTGTCTCAAAATAAAAAATTAAAATGGCTGGAGATGTGGCTCAGTGGTTAAGCCCCTCTGAGTTCAATCCTTGGCACTAAAAAACAAACAAACAAAATCTTTTTCTTAAAGATGCCTTCCTCCAACTGTGTAAGTTTCAGGCCCTACAAAACCTGGATCTACTCTGCAAATTCCCTATTTCATTATCCACTCCCTTCTCYCATTCAGCCACCTTTCTAAAGCACTCCAAATGGGAGATAAAGACACAATGCAAGGGGRAATAAGGTCTGTTCTGGCGAAGGAACCTGGTGCAGTGAGAGGGTGGCTGGGGAGATGGTAGATAGGAGCTGGTACAGGTCAGAAGGATGAGTGTGGGGGAGCAGCATGTGAAGAAGGCCAGTTTGGGGGAGGGGGACTGGCTGACCCATGGGCACATGCATCATGGAATAATAACCGGAAGTGACCTGCCCTAGGTATTGGCCTACATCAATGGGGTCTTGTCAAGCAAACCTAGAGCATCCCTGGTCTACTCCATGCCCTCCCGGAATGTGTCCCTGCGGCTGGAGGGCCTCCAGGAGAAAGACTCTGGTTCCTACCGCTGTTCTGTGAATGTGCAAGACAGCCAAGGCAAAAGCAGGGGCCACAGCAGCAAAACCTTAGAGCTCAAAGTGCTAGGTGAGTGAGAAACACACACTTCCAGATGCCTCCCCACCCACAGGGAGGTGAGGAGGTCTTTCTCCCAAGTGGCTGAGTATAAGGTTTGGGGGTGGGGCCAATGGAGTGACAGAAGGGTATGGGGGTGGGGAGGATCCATGGCTCCCTTGGGTGTGGGCTTTAACCTGTGTCTTCTTCCCCAGTTCCTCCAGCTCCTCCATCCTGCCGCCTCCTGGGTGTGCCCCATGTGGGGAACAAYGTGACCCTGAGCTGCCAGTCCCCAAGGAGTAAGCCTGCAGCTGAATATCAGTGGGAGCGGCTGCCCCCATCTCCTCAGATTTTCTTTGCACCAGCTTTAGGTGAGGGAATTTCTTAACAACTGAGACTGTGACTGAGGAAGGGAAAAGATGAGAGGTGCCCTGGGGACTGGGGCAAAAAGGGGAGGCAATACTGCCTAGGACTAGGCAGAGGGAAGAGGAGAGGGGGAAGAAGAGAAGAGGAGGTGAGAAAGACAGCTGCAGATGGTGGGGAGTGGCTAGGTAGTGCACCATAATCCCAGCAGGAAGATCAAAATTTCAAAGGCAGCCTCAGCAATTTAGCAAAACCCTAAGCAAGTCAGGAGACTCTGTCTCTAAATAAAATACCAAAAAGGTCAGTGGTTAAGTGCCCCTGGTTTCAATTCCCAGTACAAAAAAAAAAAAAAAAAACCCTACCAGATGCCAGTACTTTCATGTGCTGTGTACTGTTACTAAGGAAGCTCTGGAGGTAAATTATCTGCCTTCAGGTTCTAGCTCTGATTTCTAACTTTGTGACTCTGTGCCTCTATTCCTTCACTTGTAAAACTAGATATTAGTAGCCCTGATTTGAACACATCAACTATAAAAAAAAATCTTTTTTTTTTTAAACATTAGGCTTTTATTTGTTTATTTTTATGTGGTGCTGAGGATCGAACCCAGGGCCTCGCACATGCTAGGCGAGCACTCTACCACTGAGCCACAACCCAAGCCCTGTAAAAAAATCTTTTACTGACAATTGCAATATTTTTTTATATGAAATATTAGATGGTTTTAGAGAATTATTATTAMTTGCTTAAATTATTATTAATTGCAATAGTATTGTGATTATGTGGGACAGTGTTCTTATTTTTTTGAAGGTGCATACTTAAGTATTTAAAATTTCTTAGAGAAAGAGAAATGAAATAAGTATGGTAAAATATTAGCAACTGTTAAATCTGGGTGGCAGATATATAGATTTTCATACCCTACCCCCACACACACTTTTCTTTTTGGACTAGGGATCAAACCCAGGATCATTCTACCACTAAGTTATGTCCTCAGCTCTTATTATTATTATTATTATTATTATTATTATTTTAGATATAGATGGACACAATTTATTTACTGTATCACAGAGCTATAGCTCCAATCTCACTTGACTATTTTCATGTAAAAAACTTTTTTTTTTGTACCAGAGATTGAACCCAGAGCCACATCCCCAGCCTACCACTCCATTTTTTAAAAATATTTTTTAAGTTGTAGATGGACACATTTATTTATTTTTATGGAGTGCTGAGGATCAAACACACCTGCAAGGCCAGCGCCCTACCACTAAGGCACAACCCCAGCCCTCCCCAGCCCCTTTTTCAATATTTTATTTAGAGACAGGGTCTTTCTAAATTGCTGAGGGCCTCACTAAATTATTGAGGCTGGCTTTGAACTTGCAATCCTCCTGCTTCAGCCCCTGGAGCCACTAGGATTACAGGCATTTGCCACTGCACTTGGTCCTTTTCTTTTTTAAAGTAATACTTACCTTGGACCTATGGTTGTGGCTCAGTGGTGGAGCACTTGCCTAGCTCTACCACTGTAGAATGTGAGGCACTGGGTTCAATCCTCAGCACCGCATAAAAATAAATAATTAAAACAAAGGTATTGTGTCTAACTACAACCAAAAAAAAAAAAAAAAACTTAAAAAAAAGTAGTGCTTACCTCACAAATTTGTTGTGAAATTTTGGTAAGTTAGTACCTGTAAAAAACTTAAGAGTGTTTTTTTTTTGTATAGAATAAATAGTCAATAAATATTAGTTATTAAAATAATTACTCCATGTAATCCTTTCAACATCACCAGCTAGATCATATTACCCCAATTTTACAAATGAAGAAATGGGGACATGGGGATTTAAAGTAACTTGCTTAAGGTCACATAGCCTATTCTGGATCTTAGGTTCCTAGCCTTCTTTTTCTGTCATCACATTGCTTTTCAGAAATAAAAGTAAAAATGGTGTTTGGGGTTTTTCTATATATCACTTCCTTTCGGATAACAGTTGGGGRTACTGAGGAGCAGAAATGGAGAGGGATATTGAACTAGCTGGTCTGTAACTGGGAGCTGTCACACTTTTCCCTTCCATCAGGGAACAGATAAGAGTCCCAGAGAGTCAAAGAGGACATACTAGAGAAAGGGCAGGACTTTTTGTTTCTTTTTCACATGGGGAAAAAAAAAGTCACTGAACTGATGGCAAAATTGTATCTACAGATGACATCCGTGGGTCTTTAAGCCTCACCAACCTTTCCACTTCCATGTCTGGAGTCTATATCTGCAAAGCCCACAATCTTTTGGGCAGTGCCACGTGCAATGTTACTCTGGAAGTGAGCACAGGTCAGTGAGGGGTAAGTGTGGTTAAGAAGAGTGGTCAGTGGTGGGGGTGGGTTTGCAAGTGGGAGAAAGCCTGTTAGCTGAGGCCTTTCATTGTAACAGGGAGCTTGCCCTGGTCAAAGTTTCCTACAAATGTTTGTGCAGTGACGGGCCATTATCTGCTTGACAGTGCCTTCTCTTCTTAACAGGAAAAAAGAATGTATCTGGTGGCAGTGGGGTAGTAGAATTGAAGGGTAGGGGACAGATGAGTGTTCCTTTCTGACACCAAGGCTTTTCCAGGACCCAGGGCTGCTGTGGTTGCTGGAGCAGTTGTGGGCAGCCTGGTTGGACTGATGCTGCTTGCTGGGCTGGTCCTCTTGTACCAACGCAGGGGCAAGGCCCCAGAGGAGCTGGCCAATGATATCAAGTAAGTGTTCCTGATCTTTGCAGGGATGGAGGCTCTTCTAACTTCCCTCACAGAGTTTGAGTCTCATAGTATAGAAGAGTGGGCAGATCATCTTTCCTAGGGGCAGATTTTATGGGAGAAGGAAAAGGGTTGCATTTGTGGAGATAAAAAACAAAACATATAGAAACTTTCTTTTCTTTTCCTTTCTGCTTCTGATGTATTTTTACTTCTTTGATGACTAGGGAGGATGCCACTGCTCCCCGGACTCTGCCCTGGCCCAAGAGCWCAGACACAATCTCTAAGAATGGGACCCTTTCGTCTGTTACCTCAGCACGAGCCCTCCGATCATCCCATGCCTCTCCCAGGCCTGGTGCAATGACCCCTACACCTAGTCTCTCCAGCCAGGCCCTATCTTCACCAAGACTTCCCAGAACAAATGGGGCCCACCCTCAGCCAGTATCCATTATCCCTGGTGGGGTTTCGTCCTCTACCATGAATCACATGGGTGCTGTGCCCATAATAGTGCCTATGCAGAATCAGGCTGGGTCTCTGGTGTGACGGCACTCAAGGGTAAACAATCTGGTGTCTCTATTTCCTATAAGGGTTACCCTTAGCACTGACAGAGGCCTGAGTCTTGGGAAGGTAGCCACACTCCAGACCTCCAGTCCTCTGCTCCTACCTCTTTACTATAGCAAAACTGGGTCTCAGGAAGATCCAAATGTCCAGAAGATCAAAGGGAAAAAAAAAAAAAAAAGAGGAAGTGAACCTAGGATGGGATTGAGGGGAAACTTCACCCCTCCCCCACTTCTTCCTATGAAGCAAGCTGAATGCTGCTGAGATTGGCTACCCTCTAAGGGCCCTGGAGGAGGAGACTGCCAGTCAAAGAGGCCGCAGCCTGATGATTTGTAACCCACCCCTATCTAACTGACATCCCTTGCTGCCACTCCAGCTCCCTGCATTAATACAAACTGTTGTGCTGTCTTGGTTGGATTTGTTGGGGCAAGGAATATGAAAGACATTTTAAAAACTAACTTGAAATGTGTGTGTTTTTGTTTTTATTTTGCAAATTTCAATAAATATACACTGTGTTTATATGAAATAAGAATCACATATCCTTTCCAATTGGGAATTCTCAGAAGTTGAGCTTCAGGAGGATGCAAAGTGGAACCTAACCAGGCTGTGGAAGCAGGAAGCTTCTCCATACAGCCTGAATTTACTGGCTTGGGATATCTCTTCTAGAGTGTTTAGAAAGGTCATTTGCTGTCATATGTAAAGAGAAAGCACCCAATTCCTTAATCCAATCTGAGCAGTAAGGGAATGAAAACGAGGGGTACGCTTTCTGCTGGAGTTCTGACGGTCCTGGTTTGGGGATGCATGCGTTTCCTCTCTTCCTCAGTGGGGCTGGGGAGGGGAACCTCCTTTGTGCTTCCTTCCCTCACACAATGGGATCCTTAACAAACACATCTCCTGCCTATGGTGTAGCAGTCCCTCTTGTTACTGAGGGAGAGCTGAGTGTAGAATGTGGTGCAGATACATGTCAAAATTCTGCCATGTTCTTTCCTAACAATGGTGAGAGCCTCTAGGTCTCAGTTTCTCTGTACAATGGAGGGGCTCTGGGAATGGGGAGGTGGGTGTGACTTATGGAGACTCTTACTCCAGCATGTGGTGAACAGAAGAATTTTTGGAGGAACAAGAATCTCTGAAGGGGTCAGACAGGGTCTAAGCCCAGAATTACATGCTCACTTCAAGAGCCCATGTTGGTGAAGTATTTGCCAAGTCCCAGTGTTAGATTGCCTCCTCTTCCTCCAAAGACAATCTTTTCCTGCATAGCTCCAGTTCTGAGCCCTGGCCCTCCGGGTACCCACCCAAAGCCCGGTTCTTTTACCAGGGCCTGACAGCTTCAGAAACTGAGGGAAGAGGAAGGAAAAGGAAGGAGGGCTACAGTGATTTCAGAGTTAGCCTGGAGGAGGGAGGAGCATTTCTTTACCTGAAGGTACCAGCCTCTCCCCTTGTTTGCTCTGAGATAGTCAGTTTCGCTCCTGCCAGGCACGACAAGGCTACCCGCTGGGTACTACCTTCCCTTCCCCAGACCCCGACATCGAGACAGACCAACGCATGGCAGGACAGCTGGAGGTGGCCGTGACTGGGCTCCCTGCGGGGCCTTTCCTCTGCTGGGCTCTGCTGGGCTTTGTGTGCCTGAGTGGTGAGGAGAAGCCTCAGCGAGAGATGGGGGTGGGGTCCTGACTTCCCGGGCTCTTTAAGGACTGCCCAGTCCCTGCGGTGTGGGCTAGGGCTGCTTCTGGGGCTAAGGTGGAGCCTGCTGATCCAGGCAGGGGTTGAGGGCCATCAGGGCAGAGGAGAGGGGCGCACCGGCTGGCATTCCTTAACCGCGGCAGGGCTATTGTCTTCTTTTCTCCGCCAATACATCCTCATACCTGGCCCAGTCTTGGCCCTTTTACCCACAAAAATCCGGCTGGGCTGTGGGCACCTCCCTCCCGGAAACATCAGGTTTCAAGAAGGAAGGAGGGATTGGCTTGAGAAGAGTGCACTGTGGGGAGAGAGCCCCCAGCTCTTGATGTAGACGCTGAAATATAGGCCAGACCTTCCAGATCACCAGGATTGTGGTTCTGCCTCCCTCTCCATCCTCAGCCCCAGGGATAGCTGTGGAGGTGAAGGTACCCACTGAGCCCCTGAGCGTGCCCGTGGGCAAGACTGCTGAGTTGAGCTGCAGTTACAGCACATCGGTGGGAGACAACTTCGCCCTGGAGTGGAGCTTTGTGCAGCCTGGAAAGCCCATCTCTGCCTCCCATCCCGTGAGCTGACAGCCACTGTGACCCCAGTGGGGTTGGCCAGGAAGAATGAGGGCTTGGGGTGGGGGTACATTTGGGGATCAGTATTGCTTGGATGAAAAGGTAAGTGGGCTCTTGCTAGATCTTCTCAGTCTGTGTGACCCTATATTATCCTTACCTCTCCCATGGCTATATTAAAATCCCTTGTTAGTGAAGTCCCAGTTAGAATTACTGAACCCATTGAGGGGGAAGTGTTGCTGATTGATAGGATACATTGATGTTGCCCCTTAATAGTTCAGGCTACAGAGTATCAACCTCCTCCACTAGTGCAAGTGAGTGGACTTATTCCCACTTCCATGTGGAAGCACTGTGGAATGGGTGCCAGAGAGAAGGGGGAACATATGCATGTCTTCTGCCTCTTCTCAGATCCTGTACTTCACCAATGGCCATCTGTATCCCACTGGTTCTAAGGCTGAACGGGCCAGTCTACTTCAGAACCCCCCCACAAGAGGGGTGGCCACCCTGAGATTGACTGATGTCCGCCCCTCAGATACTGGAACCTATCTCTGTCATGTTAACAATCCACCAGATTTCTACACCAACGGGTTGGGGTTAATCAACCTTACTGTGCTGGGTAAGGCCAACTGGGGACCCACCAGTTAACTGTGTACTCTGAAAGTGTGTACAGGCCCTGTTAACTCTCCCCATATCCTGATTTCCAGCTGAAGGACACAACTGCACTGGGGACCTTAAAAAAAAAAAATCCCCCTTCTGAAGACTTCTAATCTGTATAGTCAGTCATACTCTAATTCTGCCTTCCACAATGTCTCCTCCCTTAGGGCCCTAGTAACAAAGGGTCTGAGAGAAAAAGCCCTTCCCTTATATGGGGTCTGAGTCATACCCCTACCACTCCATTAGCCAGGAACCTCCCACTGATAGTTCAGATTTGAATTCTGTCCCTCCCAATAGCCAGTGGCAGAGAAGGAGGGTAGCCATGAAAGGAAGAAGTCCCCTATCAGTGTGCACCACTTTGTGTTCAGAAATTCCATCTCTCCCCAAATCACAGCCTGGTCAGAGATGAGCAATCAAAGAAATTATTAGAGGCAAGAGATGTTTAGATGGAAAAGATAAGACCAAGGAGATGTTGTGTGACTGCTATATTCAAATATCTGAAGGGCTGTCATGTGGAGGAGAGATTTTAATTTCTCACTGTGGGCCCAAAGGAACTGGAATCAAAGGGTAGATATTATTAACATGGACTTTGGCTCAACATGAGGAAGACCTTTAAAATACTCAAAATTTCCAATAGTAGAAATCACTTCCTGGGGATGCAGTAGTGTGTGGAGAGAAATGGACCATTATTTGGCAGGGGTATTAAATCAGGAAATGTAGCACTTAGTGGGTGTGAGATTAGAAGATTGCTGAAGTACTTCTGTGATTTTTGCAGTACCCCCCAGTAACCCCTTATGCACTCAGAATGGGCCAACCTTTGTGGGGGGCTCTACTGAACTGAGATGCTACTCTTCTGAGGGAGCTCCGAAGCCAGTGTACAACTGGGTACGCCTTGGATCTTCTCCTACACCTTCTCCTGGTAGCATGGTTCAAGGTAAGGGCCCAGGGACTCAAAGAGGGAACTGCACACCTGCACAAATGTGGTCTCTAAATCCCATATACCCACATTACCAGTTCTATGACTATTGAGGATGAGACAAACCACTCTACCTTTTCCCTGTCTCTTCCCTATATTATTCCCTTTCCGTCTGTCTTCTGCAGCCTGTGGCTGCATTCCTGGGAGTTATTTTTCAAATTAAATATTTTCCTGATATCCTGAAAGAGAGTAGAGAGCAAGGGGCATTCTTATGATTCCTACTTGTCTACTTTTGGGAGATTTTCTAAAGGGTCATGAATCACTTCCAAACTTCCTAGAGAAGAAACTGAAGCAGAGTGGAATGGGCTGGCTTGAATCATTTTAGCTGGTATCTTTGGAAGAGCCATATAGCTAAAAGCCTTAGCTTCTCAGTTTCCTCTAGTTGCCAGATCTCTCCTAATAGCCCCAGCTCCTGCAAACACATCCCCCTCATCACTTCTTGATGTGTGTTCTGCTTTCTAAAGCAAGAGTTTAGAAAAATACTTGGATCAGTTTAGAGCCACTCCAGAGGATACAGTTTTTAGCAATTAATCCTTTTTACCCTCAACCAGGAACCTGACCTTAGCCAGTAAGAATCCAACTTCAATTCCATCACCTTCATGTTTGTGCAGTTTCCCTAAGCCTAAAAAGGTAATTATGTGAGGTGGAAAGAGCCCATAAGTTGAAGTGGCTTTGGAATTACTCTCTAGAAATTATTTACTTTCTGAGTCTGATTTCTCACCAATGGTATCAGGTTGTTCCTCTTTAGCAGGACTGTTGTAAGGATAAAATGAATGAGCTTTCCTCATAGTAGGTGCTCATCCAGTTGACTGAGGTGACACACTTCCTTTTTTCCCTCTAGATGAGGTATCTGGCCAGCTCATTCTCACCAATCTCTCCCTGACCTCCTCGGGCACCTACCGCTGTGTGGCCACCAACCAGATGGGCAGTTCATCCTGTGAGCTGACCCTCTCTGTGACCGGTAGGGAATGCTCAGCAAAGGCCAGACTGAAAGGCTTGGGTTGGGGAGGCTGCATGAAGTGGTTTGAGGATGAGTCAAGAAGTTCTGAAGCTCTGAGGGCCTTATGTCTTCTTAGATTCCTCCAAAGGTCGAGTGGCTGGAACTCTGATTGGGGTGCTCCTGGGTGTGTTGCTCCTGTCAGTTGCTGCATTCTGTTTAATCAGATTCCAGAAAGAGAGGAAGAAGAAGCCCAAGGAGACATATGGGGGTAGTGAACTTCGGTGAGCAGGAGGGCTAGAGGGTGGTGCAGAGAGGGAGAAAAGGGTTTGGGTTGAAGGTGGAACCTTTAGCCCTCAAACTCTGACACTGTTAGAAGTGTTAGGGGGTAGGGATTACTGCTCGTTCCTGGTATTTAGTGGTGGCAGATGCAATATAACCTATGCATGAGTGTGTGTGTGTGTGAACAATGTGTACAGGGTGAAGGAGTTAGTTTACAAGTTGGGACATGGATGACTCAGTTTACAGGACAGCCTGAACCCTTCTCAAATTTAAAAATGTTTACTCTTCTGTTTTTAAGGCATGTGTGTGTTTGTGTGTATGTGTGTGTGTGTTTTAAATGTATTGGATTTATCCTGATCACTTAGCTGAGTTTAGTTCTATGTGGGGCAATCAGGAAAAGAGCCCAAAGCTTCCTCTGTCCTCTACTTTAGCTGGACCAGAATAGGAATCAGAGCAAAATTTCTTCAAATGTGGTCCTCAGGTTACCTAAAAAGGTATCACCAGGAACTTAGTAAACATTCAGTTTCAGGTCATTTTCTATCCCTCTTACAGTAAAATTTCTGGGTGTGTGTGTGTGTGTGTGTGTGTTGGTGGAGACAGGCCCCGGAATTTTCATTTTAACCAAAAGTTCCACAAACAATTCTCAGGCATAGTAAAATGTAAAAGTTCCTGGGTTACAAGACAGCATTTGTCTGGAGGTTGCTTCTAGCTTCAGTAAAAATTTGCTTATATCCATCAGGGAGGATGCCACGGCTCCTGGGATTTTTGAGCAATCTTCTATGAAGGTGGATTCTAGCAAAGGGCTCCTTGAAAGGTCCCCATCTACCAGTACTGTGACGACCACGAAGTCCAAGCTCCCTATGGTTGTCTGACTTCTGATCCCTGAGGGCAGTGAGGGGGAGGATCAATAATTAAAACCTTTGGGTACCATATTGTCTCTTTCTGGCGAATTTCTCTAGGCGACCCAAAGAGTATTACTAGTAAGGGAAGGATTGGGCTTTAAATCCCAGAGATGATGCTATAAGCAGGAAGTTTGGTTGCGTCAAAGGGCAGATTTCAATCTAAGGGTTTCTCCATCTCACTTCCCCTCTGCTTTTTGGCTTGATCAAATGAGATTTGTTCAGGCTCCAACCGGTGGCCTTGTGCACCCAAACTCCCTCCCCTCCCGGCACCCTCTGAACACTTGGACATTCCTCTTTATTGTTCACATTCCAACCCAGAACGGTCACATGCACACACCGAGATTAAAAACCTTCCGGCCACAACCCCAGGAGCCCAGCGGGGCCGAAGCCGGAAGGGGCAGGGGCGGGGCCGCGGAAGACTCCTCCTACCGAGCCTCCAGGCGCTCGGCGTTTGCGTAAACAGGAGAGCTGGAGAGGCGGCTCTCAGGGTGCGCTGGGGAAAAGGAAGGGAACATGACAGGCAGGTGCGGGATAGGGACTTCCCTTCCGATCAGAGTAAGGGGCATCCGAAACCATGTAAACACTTTTCTCCCTTCCTCATGTCCCAGATTTAAAGTTCTGAGGCTAGGCTGGGGAGGGAATTGCACAGAGACGCAGGGCGCCCCCTATCGCTGCGCACAGAACCAAAGGACTGTTGTTATTTTTTTAAATTGAGTGTACTTGGGCGACGCTTAGGGCGCCCTCCGCAGTGCGCGCAGGGAAGCGCACAGAGGCTGCGGAGGCAGAGCTGCATGCTGGGTGCGGGGAGAGGTGGGCGAGAAGCAAAAGGAGGAAAATTTGGGAGTGCGGGGTTTGGGGATCGGAGGGGGAGGAAGGGCGAACAGGGACCACGCTAGACTGGAGGGCTAACTAAAAGGGCAAGACTTGGCGACTCCGCGAGGAAGCCTGCCTGGAAGAAAGAGTCTCTGGGACGCAGGGGGGCTCCAGAAGCTGGCAGGCTGGTGGGGAGGAGGGGATCACAAACACGGTAGGGAAGTCTTGTCACTGCGAAGGGGACACGGCATCCATCTCTCCTTGGGAACTGAGGAAAGAGAAGGTCTGAGAACCTGCCCTCTCCTGGAATTTACTCTCCCCGTCCCTTCTACCTTTCTGAACAAGGATACCAGGGCCTGGAGTGCCAGGGGTCCCTAGTCACTCAGACCCCCCCCCCCACCCTGAGTCAATGAGCTGAAATGAGCCCCGAGAAAGATATGTGAGTGAGACCGGGTGTGTTTACAGCCCTCGGCCGGGCTTGTGCGGCCAAATGAGGGTGACTGCGTTGTTTGCGTTAATCCAGGTGTGACCCTGTTGCAGCCTCAGGCATGTCAATGTGTCGGAAAACCTGCGGGTGCAGGGTGCACGTTCCCTGGTTGGGAGTGAGTGAAGGCGGACAGGGGAAGGGTTGGGAAATTGGTCCTCTCCTCCCACTTAGCATTCCCCAAAACCTCTCCGCTTTGGGTCGTATTCATTACCTTCTAAAATGTTCATTTCTTCTTCAATCCAGGGCGGGGCAGAAGGCAGGGTGGAGAGGGAGAAACAGGTGAGTTCTCGGAAATCTCAGCACCTTTAGCCTCCTCCAACCCACCTCACCTGGCGGATTTCTACTTCCCACCCCCAGCGCCTTCCACACCTTTCTCTACCTTCAGCACGCCCTTAGTCTTCCCTTGCTCCTTCCTAGGAGCATTGGGAAAGAGGGGCCTCCAGCTCGCAGCGCCCCTCCAGCCAGCCTCACCTGGCTTAGTCTCCGCTGGGGCCGCCGCCCGCGCCTCCCCGGGCGCCCCCAGCTCCGCCCGGTCCCCCAGGACCCGGGCCCTTCCGGCCGTGCTCTCCGCTCTTTATCTTCTTCCGCGCCATATGGCCCCGGAAACTCGCCTGGATTTTGGCAGCGGCTGCATTGGCACCAGGATCGTCCAGTGGGATGTCTAGAATGTCGTCGTCCGGCTTGGAGCAGGCGCTCTCCTGGGGAGGGAAGGGGAAGGGGTTCTTATTGGCGGGTCAGGTCGGAGACCCAGAGAGGGTAGGTTAGGACCAGAGTCTCGGGAGATTGAGAGCAGGACTACTGGGGTAGCAGATGTGGAAGAGAGGAAAGCCTCACTGGTGTGTTTCTCCCTGGGCAAGAGGAAGGTTCAGGGCTATGATGTGGGCACAGTTATGCACTCACCTCAGGAAAGAAATACATGGTGGGAAGGGGTACAAGAAATCCAGACAGCCGGAGTGAGCCAAGGGCCCATTACCAGTGGCCAGTTTAGGGGCGCTGCAGAATTGAGTGGACCGCGGGTTTGGAGGAGCAAAGTAAACAGGCATTCCCGGATGTGGCCRCCCATCCCCCTGCTTTTAAAGGCTGCCTCCAGTTCAGAAGGGGCCCTTCCCAGCCTAGGATTTTCTGGGGATTGGATACATAAGATTCACCAGGACAGCCTTTTCCTGAGTAGACTGGTACCAGAGCTCAGCTGGAATTAGGGAGAGGATGGGGCCAAAGCTCAGTGAATCTGCCTCCCCTCTACCCCCCCCATACGGGTTAGAGGCCAAGAGACTGTTTTCCCATGGACTGTTCACTTTCCCACTGTTCCCCAGGTTGACCTCACAACCTGGAGTCTCAGAATAAGTGACAGACAAAATCTATCACTTAAACAAACAAACAAGGAAAAGATCAGCAGGAGCAAGAAGCCCTTTCCTTGGTATGCTCATTGGAAGAAAGTAATTAAGACAATAGCTACCATTTATGCACGTATGTTGTTCCAGGTGGAATAATACAGTGTTTTACAAGCATTATTTTATTTAGCTTTCAAAAATAAAGCAATGACATATCTTTTTATTATTACCCCAGTTTATTATGATAAAACTGGCGATTGGTTTAAAAACCTATCTGGTGAAACAAAAAAGCAACAAACAAAGAAAAAAACCTATCTGGTGTCATACAGAAAGTTATCAATGGACCAAAAATTCGAACCTTTGTATATCAGGGTCTAGAGTGCATTTTTAACCCCCACTTAGGATAAGCAGATGCAACCCAGAAAGCAAACCAAGGCTCTACCACATGCTGTAACTGTGTTGTCTTGGGCAAGTTATCTAATCTTTTCTTAGTTCCTTCATCTGAAAAACCAGGATAATAATATCCACCTCTATGGGTTGTGGGGAAGAATAAATAGCATGATATGCATAAAGTTTCTGGCACAGACTAGTTGCTCAATAAATGGTAGCTATATATTATGATTGTTTTATATAATATTATATTGATGCAAAATAATTGCTTCTGTATGCCAAAAGTGGTCATATAATAACAATTTTACAAAGTTCACTCTAATATACAAATACAAGCCACATAATGTTTTGGTCAATGACAGATCTCATATATAATGATGATACTATAAGATTATATCATTTAATGTTGTCATAATTATCTTCATTGGGGTAATTATACTATATATTGTTTGCACAATTCCAATGACACATTTTTCAGAACCTGTTACCATCATTATGGAATGTGTAACTGTAATCTGACCATCCCATACCCAAAGTAGGTTTCTGTCTCTCTCATGGCCTGCCCTAGCTGACAGAAGAAAGAATTAAGGAATTGATATAATGAATTTCAGTGGTTAGGCTGGAATAGAGAAAGTCTCAGTATTTAGCCCCTTTGTGGCTTAACATGACTTATGGCATCAGTGTGGACTGGGATGATGATGATTACTGGCAAGTTAGAAGACCATTTCTCCTTTGTTTTGGCCCCATGGCTTCTAGGAATGTGTCCGAGGACATGCATTGCTCAGACAGTAGCTGATCAAGGTCTCACATAAAAATGGTAACTCAGTTCTACTCCTGCCCCCTTCTGGTCAGTTATCTAGTCTTAGAAGTGAGGCTTCAATGATCACTGTCCCAGACAGGTTGACCCAGGAGTATATGTTTAAATTCTGGATGCCCTTGCCAGGATTTCCCAGGCTGTCCTTATTCGTGGGCTTTCATGGTTCTTCAATTTGTGCTGAGATGTTCACAATCCATGGATATAAATACAATTTCAAGGAGTTACCAGGTGGCTGGTATTGTGTAGAGGGGCCCTCTTTTTGTCTTTCCTAAGTCTCAATCTCTCCCTGACCTTTTATTTCTTATTCACATAAAATCTAAAACAACTCCTTTGGGTTCTTTGATTCTCAGAGTTCAAGTCTTTCTTGGAATATTCTCTGGGAACAGTGAGACTTCTTTTCAAAAGGGGGCAACAACTATTAAAAAAAAAAATCCAGTCCACTAGGCTCTTGGGCCTTGGCAGTCATGGAGGTGTGGGGAAGTTGAGTGGAGCAAGGGTATCTTTCTCCAGTCTCCCAAGACCCTACCTGCTGTCACCACCCACCCCAGCTGGATCCAAAATGGAAACTTACCCCCAGAATCAGCTCCCTCTCCCTCAAGCTGAGTTCTCAGGATAGAGCTAGCTTTGAGGTGGCCTGTTCCAGATCTGTTCACAGATCTGCAGGGAGAGTAGCAGGAATAGGGAAAAAGGCTCATTGGTCACAGTAAGCGGGTACCTTCCAAAGTCAAGACTGATGGTGTATCCCGGAGAACTCTGTATGAACTGGGTGACATTTAGCCTGACTTGTTTACAGACTCTAACAATGTGAAGGTGGAGCCATGGTTTCTAGTCCCACTGGGCACATCATTTTCCCTCTAGGAACCTTATTTTATTTTCAGCCACAACTAAAACTTGGCTGAGATGAATAAAGTCTCCTTGAGCTCCCAAATCCTAATAACTATAAGAATTATTCCTGCTGGGTGCTTATAATGTGTCAGGCCCTGTGCTCAACACTGCACATTTTACCTATTCAATCCCAATTTTGGAAGTCTGGGAAGAGTCTCAGAGATATTTTGTAACTTCCCTGAGGTTGCACAGTTGATAAACAATGTAATGATCTGATTCAAGGCAGGCAATCATTTTATGAATTCAGCTGGACCAGGTTGACTAGACCAAGCAAAGGAAAGGAGTAGGATCCAAAATATGTTCCTCTGCTTTTTCATACTAAATGAATGCAGGAAAATCATATATATATATATATATATATATATATGATTTAAAAAAATAAGGAGATCTGTCTTGTCCCCGTGCCCCCTGCCATTTGTGTATCAGCCTCGTGACCAAGAAGAAAGAAGGAGGAAGGCTAGTGGTCTTCCTAAAGACCAGGTGACCAGGTGAAGTGGTCATGGAGGAGTTCCAGAATGAAAAATGAAGAGGCACACTGACTGCTTTCTGTACATATCACAGCTCCCTCCTAGCATTGAGCCCAGACCTCCAAAGAATTGGGTAGGAAAATGTCTGGCCCCAGCCCCATCCTTCTCTAACCCTTCACCTCAGCATCCGTCCCTTTTCCCTCTTCCTGTTGTCCTGCACAGTCCAAGTATGGTGCCTGCTCTTGCTCATTCCTTTGGCCCTGAAAACCTAAGACATGAAAAAGGAAAGTTCCTGTGTACAGGGTGCACTGGAAGAGGTGCCCCAGAGCCTGGGTCACTGGGATCAGTGTATCTGCCACCTTCATATTTTTTGGGTGGGTGTCCTTTCATTTTTTTAGGAGACACTGAATGCAACCCTGTCTACTAGTCCCTTAGATGTTATCTATCAACACCTGTCATCTGTTACCTAGCTAGCTATTTTCCCTGCACAAATGGCTTCCTGGGCACTCACAAGCACCACCCAGGGCTGACCAGGGCCTTCAGGTGGACTCCATACCCCTCCCTTATTACTCCTGCAGACACAGGAGGTGACAGGCTACATTCCTTCCCTGCCTTCTTGGATTCTTTGTTCTTTCCACTGACCATGCCTCCTGCTTTCCTTTCCCTATCATTTGGATCTTCTCATCTTATTCCTTCGTGCTCAGCAATACCCTTCCCTCACTCACTCAGATCTCTGAATCCATGATTCATTTATTTACTTTACTTTATAAAACATTGCGGGTTGAGAGTTTCTTCCTCAGTGGATCCCAGAAACCTCCATTTCTCCTTTCGCAACCAAAAAAATTGTTTCTTGATCTGGGGATGGAGTTCAGTGGGAAAGCCATACTTAGCATGAAGGAGGCCCTAGGTTCAAACCCCAGCACAGTAAATACAAAAATAAATAAGTCCCTGAAGAATAACAAGCAAAGGGAAAACGATGTTATCAGTGTTCTCCAGGGGGCAGGACTGTATGTGATTGACATGTTTCTTTTTATACTTTCTCTGTTCTTTATATTTACTATTATGTGCATGTTGCTTTTATAATGAGGAAAAGACAATATAGTTGGAGGAGAGGTCAATGTATAGCTATTTGAATGAAACAAGGCTCTGCTTGAATCCTGTCTCCATATCCAGGAGCGCTGCCTCCTTGGGAAAATAATTTCTTGAAGCCTCAATATGCACATCTGTGAAATAATACCTACGTCACAGAGTTGTGATGATTAAATATAAAATGTAAGGTTATGGTGAGCAATCACAAACTGGCAGTTATTATGGATACTAATAAGAGTTAAAATCACAACTATGACTTGCTTCTAAGTTTTTTCAGCCTCTTGATATCCAGACATCTCAAAGTCTCACCTCTTACAGAACTGGGGTATTCTTTAATTCCCAAGCTCATTCCCCTCACCTTTTTGTACACTATGGGGTGGGGAGAGGACAAATCAATTAATAGAATACAAGGACAAGTATTTCTCTGTATGTAGGGGATAAAATAAATTTCTATGCGCATGATCACTGTATTCCTCTAGTGACCAGGAGTCATGTCCTGTGCCGGGTGCTTGCATACAGGGTCACCTTAACAGTAATCTACTTTTGCATTAGGCACTTGCTGCATCCTGGTCTCCGTGTGGGCGCTGACAAATTGCAGACGCTTCCTTTCCTAGCCAGCAGGGCTCTCTCGCGGTCACTTCACCCAGCCCCCTCAGAGTGAGAAGGCTTTGGGGGCCGGGCCAACTCCTCTCCAGAACCACACTGACTAGGCTTTTTGCTGCCCATCCTCACTACTAAGACCAGTATGGACCGATTACCTCCATCTACATTGTGCAGGGACTTAGGCGATCTTCCGGGGATCGGAAAGATCAGTATGTCCACCCACCGACAACAGTGCCAGTGGGCACTATACCTATATGGTATAGGGAACAAATGCCAGAGGAGAGAATTCGCCGCAGCTTCGCTAGGCGACGATTTTCAGCGTCTCACAGGAGGAAGTTCCTCCTGTCGTCTAACCTGCAGTTTCTCTGCTGCAAAGCCCTGCCCAGCTGGAAGTCCAACCTAGACTGCTTGGCGGATGGGCGCTCAGACGCCCCCGCTAGTTGGGGAGCATTTTTTCCTAGGGCTTTCGAGTGAGGCGAGCGCCTTCCGTCACCCATCACCCACGTCTCAGCAGGCGTCCTCCTAGGTCTTCCGCACCCACTTCCATCCTTCACTCACCCTGCAGGTGGTTCTCGAGCTCTCCTTGCCCCAGACCAAGCTGAGTGCCAGTTCCCCAGGCCCTCTGACTTACCGTGCAGCAGTCCATGCTAGTGTTGGGGGTCCTTGGCTGGGGTGGAGCCTGGCGCAGGGCGGGGGTGGGGGGGTCTGTGTGATGTTGGGTGGCAGCTCTTGGGCTGTCCGAGGCCGGCGGACCGGCGCAGAACCAGCAGCTCTCCTCTCAGGTCCGGTCTCCCGCGCTCAGCTCCGCTCGCGAATGTAACCTGAGCCCTGCTGTCGTGAAGCCAATCAGGAGACGCCTTCAGCAGGGTGGGCGGGGAGAACTGGAAGGAGGACCACTCCCTCTCTCCGCTCTCTCGGTTCTCTCCGCCTTGCTCCGGCTCCTTCCCTTACCCCTCCGCCTACTCACTTCCATCCATTCCACCTACACACCCCACCCTCCCAAATTCAATCCCCTTGCTTGCTAAACCTTGGACTGCCAGGCAGATGTTTGCCGGAGTAGGCAGAAGGAGGCCTCCTACATTCCAAGCACAGACCCACATCTGGGCACATCACGCCTTCCTGGCCATAGATAGAAAACCACAAACCCCCTACCCACCACCCTCCACTTCCACAACTTAGCTAGAGCCCCAAATATGGCTCTTCTAACTTCCCTCCCCCTCAGTCCGCAAAGAAAAGCTCCAGAGACGTGTGGAAAAAAAAAAAAAAAAGTCCCATCATCACGTCTGCTAGCCTGCTATGCAGTGAAGAGTTGTTGGTGCGCAACCTGGTGATGAACACACATCAACACAAAAGTTTACTAAGCCCCACTGGTACAAATATGATACTCCCCCAGGCTCACTAAAATATGCCTTTCTTCCAACAGACAGACACTACAAAACAACCTGCAAAAACAACTACACAAGCCTTGTACACACAGCTGTGCAGATGTAAAGTATATACAGACATCCTATGTTTTGGGTGAGGGCACTGTGTATACACACACATAACAATCACCCTACTCAAGATGTCTAGATTACAGTATGTATTATCTGTATATCCATTCACCATCTGTTATCTATCAACTGTGCATCAAACAAAATCATCTACCTACAACACCTGTTTTGTATGTATTTGTATATTGGTACAAACTTTGAAGAAACACCTTTTACCCCCTTTCCACTCCTCATACCAGACTCTCCCTTTTAATCCATAGCATCAAAAGAAGACAAAATTTAACTACCCTCATCCTTGGTCCTAGGAAGAAGAAAAATACCGCAAACCCAGTAGTATACAGAATTGTCAAAAATTATTGGCCCTTTGGGTCCATGATGAGAAAGGCTATGGTATTCAAGGCTGGGAAGGGGAGATGTGGAAGACATCTCCAGGGACGGTTTGCTACTTATGTGGTAACCCACCTTTCCCAGCTTGTCAGGGTACCAGAGCTGCCATTGTGACATGTTGTGTGGGTAGGATGGACCATCTCTGAGAAAACTAGAAAGTCTTTCTCAGCTAAGATCCCAAAGGGAGGAAGGAGAAAATGATGAACTACTGCTCAGAGTAGAGGAGGGGGAAATGCACTGTGGCTCTGTTGGGACAGGAGACCCTGGAACAGTGTTCTAATAAATCTACAGTCATTGGCCACTCACAGCATGGCTGTTACATGCTTCCTTCCCACCCAAATGTTTGGGCTGGATGTTTTCTTTACCAAAGGGAAAATGAGTGGGAGGGGAAATGAGTGTCCACTCAGGATGGAGATAGGATTAACCAGCTTGGGGCTCTAAGCTGAGCTGGAGGCTGGCTGGGATTCCAGGGCTTGGGGTGTAGGGGTGTCTCTCCCAGCATGTTGGGACCCACCCACCCCTGTAACTGAAAATCTGTTCCCCAATCTGTCTCTGGCACATCCTTCATCCCCCACCTCCACCAAATGGCAGGTGTCCTGGGAACTCAGGCCTTTGCCTAAATGATAGGCACATCTGGAGCTTTAAGTTATGCCAATTCCCCTTGTACTTCAGTTCCAAAATCCAGAGAAAAGAGGGAAAGAGGAAATTGAGGAAGAGAGAGGATGTGAGGCCTGGACTCTGCTTTTCCTTCCCAAATTAGAGCCAAGGAATTCAGTATTTGGTGAGTTTGCAGTAAAGTCTCCCAAGTTGCTAGGCAACATCCCTCTGCAGGCTGTGCTGCCTCTGGGCCCTTCTTCCTGCTGGTCAGAGCTGAAAGGGGGGTATCTTTACAACACTCCCCTCCCCCTAAACTCCCACACAGGCAGCATAGCCCTTCCCTCTTTCTGAAAGACACCTTGGTGTGGGGCGAGAATGTCTAAATACTGGCGGACCCATGGGAGAACAGATACAGCAACTATCAGCTCCATCCGCAAAACAACCATTTCATCAACAGCTCACTTGAGGCGCCTACGCACAACTGGCCACAGTGCTTGCCCTGGGGGATGGGCAGGCTCTGAGGTGAGAAGACAGACAGAGGAAGGCAGAGACCAGAACAAGAAGACAGATACTCAAAAAATTCAAACACCTAGAGGCAAATGACAGATACTTAGAGTCAAAGGCACATCCACAGAGACGCACACCCTGAGCAGGATGTCACACAATGACATCTCAGATTGGACCACTGATGGCCTYGGAGTGAACACCAAACTCAGTGAGAAGTCCCTCTCTTGGACTAGGTGGAAGGACTTTGTCAGCAAGGTGAGCTGGTGGGACTCAGAGGCTGTGATTCTAAATTAGATGAGCTAGGAAGAGGAACAGGTGTAGTATGGGATCCCTGAGCCTGACTCCCCACAGTTATTGTCTTTGACATGGTGATCCAGGTAACATTCTCTGGGGTAGCTTGCCTGGCCTGTATCCTGAGTGTCACAGGCCAACTTTTGGAGTGTTACCTATTAGCCAGCTGGACTTGGATCCTGTAGTCCTTCTTGACACTTTCAGTTTTGAGAACTCTTCTCTATATTTGCCAGCCCCCACAACCACTGAAGAAAAAGGGTTGCAGGCCTGAAAAGGAGATAAGCTCCAGAAGGGCCGGGTTAGGAAGGGAGCTGGGTCATGTAAGTGCCGTGGGTTGGAACCAGTAGGAGCGTGGAGGTAGAAGGTAAAGAATAGAAGCCAAGGCAGGCAGAAGAGGAGATGGAGACAAAAGAAAGAATAAAATATGATTACTGCAAAGCTTCTGTGGTCCAATACAGATCCTTGGGACAGATGGAGGGGGATTTGGAGAGGGCTGGTCCTAGTAAGCAGACAGAAAAGCCAAGGCACGTGACAATCTATTTGCCAATACTTACTCATGGCTTCCTTTCTTTGGAGTGGGCACTTTCTGAACATAACATCCCAGCTCAAGCCCACAGAGGGACTCCATAATAAGAAGGGGGTGGGAAAGTAGGAGGCTTGTGCCTTTGGTGGAGCTGACTGGGGGCTTCTTAGGTCAGGATTTTACCCATTTAGTAGAGGGAGTGGGGGTAGCAGGAAATTCAGTTTTCTCTGCAAATATTTCAGCTTTTGCTGTAGTAGTATTTTTAGCAACCTGGTTGGCAGAGGAGGAGCCCGGGTACATTTTTAAAGGGGCCTCTGCTAGACTGGAGGGCTCTTTGCACCATCACCCCACATGTCAGAAAGAAAAGAGGGAGAAAGGACATGGTTTAAAGGGTGCATTCAAATTTAAAAATCGGGTTTGCTGGATATTAGGCGACCATCACCTTATCTTCATCAGTAGTTGTTTTCAGTCATCATCAGCATTGCTATATTGGCAGCATTATGAAAAAAGAGTAAATATTTCTTAAACTTCGGTTGTGAGCAGAATGCTACTAGGGGCATAATATAGAAGGCTTGCTATAATAGACAATTGGTTCTACATATTCATGGGTTTGGGTTCTGCATTTGTAGATTAAGCCAATCGCAGGTCAAAAACATTCAGAGAAAAAAATAAAATTGTACTGAACAGGTATAGACTTTGTTCTTGTCATTATTCCACAAGTTATGTTATAGTATAACAGCTATTTACATGAAATTTACATTGAATTAAATATTAAAAGTAAGATAGAGAGGATTTAAAATATACAGGAGGATGTGCGTAGGTTATATGCAAATATCATGCCATTTTATATGAGGGACTTGAGCATCTGCAGATTTTGTAACTGTGGGGGTCCTGGAATGAGTCCCCCAGGAATACAGAGGGATGACGGTTCTTGGTAAGACTGAGGAAAGAACCAACAGAGTTGAGTGAGTACTAATTACATTTGGGAATTTTTTTCCCCCAGTGCTGGGGATTGAACCCGGGGTATTGTGCACACTAGACAAATGTTCTACCACTAAGCTACATCCCCAGCTACTAGGTTACATTAGAATACATTACATTAATGCTTTCCAAAGTGCTTTCACATGTGTTATTTAAGGTGGTAGTCTTAAGGACTATGTGGGGATGTAACCCTCTCTTTCTGAAGACAAAACTGAGGCTGAAAGAGGTTAAGTGACCTGTTACTTGAGTGGTGTTAGACTTCTAATGTAGTGCAGAAGGAGGACTGAAACACTGAAGTTCTAACTTAGAATTCTCTTTTCCTTCTAAAATACCTCTAATATTTGTACTCAGTGTAATGAGCCAGCCACATGGTCAACAAATGAGACAAAATCTCTACTCTCTTAGTTCTTATAGTCTGATGAAAAAAAGTACAGGTGTGTGTGTGTGTGTGTGTGTGTGTGTGTGTGTGTGTGTTTTCAAAGCTGGGAATGGAACCAAGAGCTTCTCACATGCTAGGAAAGTGCTCTACCACTGAGCTATACTCTCAGCTCTTTTTCCCCTATTGTTGTCTACCTCAGGATACAGGGGAAAAATTCTTATCCAGAAGGTGGAGACATCTTGAAATCATCCAGAATGGTCATCTCTTGGAATGTGGGTATGTGATTAGTATCCCAGCCCCATCCTTCTTTGTGCTGATACTTGAAGCTTGGAGTGATCCATGGCTATAACATTCACTTGATATCTACCATTTATTGTCTTATATTAATACTTATAATTTTTTAATTTTAGAAAAATTTAAACATATGCAAAAGTAAGTAAAGTACTATATGATTAACTCCATTGTGCCCATCATTCATCAACAATTCTCAAACCATTGCTCAATGTATTTAGTCTGTATTTCTTATGATTTCCTGATTATCATTTATTATCTATCTCTGAGCTATAAGAACCGCTTAATACTTCTTTTCAAGTATATGATTATTAAACTGTAAGTTCTGTTGGTTAAGAGGAGATTCTGGTG